ATGTTAGTTAAACGGGAAGTTTAGTCCTAACATGATTTGCATATATCAAACTTTTGCTGTGTTCTTACGCAACAAAAGTACCATCCCAGTTCTAAAGAATCTATCCTGAGCTATACGTTCGGTAGATTACTTTTTCATGAGTTTCACTATATTTAATAGTTACCTGTGGTCTTGCCTCAGCTTACTATTCGTTTTTTTTGTTTTTCACGTATAGACTAGTTTCAGTTTATATCACTCGTTTTGTCCATTTTTGTCCGTTTTCAGTGTGCTTTTTAGTGTTTTTTTAAAAAGGTCTTAGGCTCTTGCAAGCATCTATAACATAGTTTGCTTCAACACCGTCATGAAAAACTCATGCAAACGTCCGGGATGCCGTTTTGCCGTCACAACTGACATGCAGTGCGACAACTGCAAAGGTTGGTTCCACGAAGCATGGACAAATCTGACAGCAACTGCTTACAACAGACTCAGCAAGTCAGACCAAAAGTGGGTATGTGTCACGTGCAGCACGGACGCAGTAGTCTTGCTGAGTAACATCATTGTCCTACTGACAGGTCTTCGGAACAAGCTGTCAGTTAACTTGGAATACGATAGTAAAAAAACCGATATACAAACAAGAGCGTGCAACGGACTCAAAAATAGGGATGTCGATAGGTATACCATCGATGGAGCATCCATCAACACTAATGACGACGTGTCGAGGCTCAGTACCATCATTACGTCGACGGTACTAGACTCCCTAGGCAAACTCGGGTCTCCCAGCTCAGGGTCCCTGAACACAACAGTGGTTCCCAAAAACCCTGCAGGTGATTCGACCCACGTTAAGAGAGCCCAAAAGAACCAGGCATCACCGCCTAAGCCGAGCAACCCAAGTGTTGCTGCACGGAAAATAACTGGTGATTTAGTCGCACAATCTACCCCCAAGACTGTTCGTCCGGTCGATAAAGAGCCCAAGATTCATAAACGCACACTGACCTCCAAACAACAAGTTATTAAACCTGAACCCATCGTGAAACCTGGTAAATTAACAACAGTTCGTGACGATTCTCTTATTATCATGAACCTCGTTGACAATCCTGATCTTCCTCTCAGTCTGCAGGACAAAAACGACAGGATGCTGTGGGGTGAATTGAACAAGAAGCTCGAACTTCCTAGAATAGAGCCTTTGACAGTCACCCGGCTCACTCGAGGAAAGGATTCTAAGCATCTAAATCACCCGAGGCTTCTCCGAGTAACACTTAAGAATGCTACCGACGTAGAGGACGTCTTGCTAGCAAGTCACTTACTGAAATCAGATGGTAACGTAAGAATATTGCCCGACATACCGTACTCTGAGCGCAATATCATACGGAACATCCCTAAAGAATCTCGCGAGAAGTTTTTCCGCGGAAGAAACATAATTGTCCAAGGTATACCGGAAAATGCAGACCCTACTCAATCAAATTCTGACATCAGGGAATGGAAATTCATCAAACAGTCATTGAGGCTCAAACACATACTGACTCAGCATGTGACGAGACTAGCCAAGAAGGACGGTGATCTTAGACCCCGTCTAATGAAGATAACCTTCCCATCTTCCCACATGGCGGCTGCAGTTCTGGAAGCATTTCGTGCTAATAGACGTCGATTGCCACCTGGAATCCACATGCACCCGGATAGGCCATACGAAGTTAGGACCAAGAAGAAAGACAAGTTGGAGCTGACCATTCCACTTGTGGACTGTCTAAACGATAAAAAAACGTGTAAAGGACAGGGCCTATCACCTCGGCAAACCTCATATAGGTGGGCTACCTGTCCATTCACATAAGGTTCATACAGAAAAACAGGACGAAGCTCACGCGTTCCAAATTGAAAGCATAAACTGCTTATATATGAACGCCGCGAGTCTACCAAACAAACTGGATGAACTACGTGAACTTAGCAACGCTAATAAGGCCCATCTGATAGGAATATCTGAAACCTGGATATCTTCTCAGTTCTCGGACCAAGAGTTAGCATTACCTGGGATGACTTTGTTCCGCAACGACAGAAAAACAGGAATTGGGGGCGGAGTAGCCATATACATAAGCTCTTGCTTGGAGGTGCACCAAGTTCACAACCTCGAGTTTAACAATCTTGAGGAATCCATATGGTGCTCTGTAAGATTGTCTAGTACTTCCAGGTGTCTAGTCGGAGTCATTTACAGGAAGCCAACTGCCGACACCGAGTACGATAGTCGTATGCTGGAAGGACTATCCCGCTCATTCCGTCTCCGTTTCACACACATCCTGATTCTAGGGGACTTTAATCTCCCTAGAGTCAACTTCGCGGAACACACGTACACTGGGGGCGACAACTCAACTGAAGCTCGGTTCTTCAACCTCATCGATAACTTGGGCTTATATGAAAATGTGAGGTCGGCAACTCGTTGGAGAAACAGTCAGACACCATCGCGCTTAGACTGAGTATTCACTAACGAAGAATTCCTAGTCGACAACCTCTCAATCCTGGCTCCTCTGGGAAAGAGCGATCACGCCGTCATAGCCTTCAGTTTTGTCATCAAAACTAAGCTAAGGTATCCCAACAATAATTTGCGTTGGAATTTTAAACGGCTGAATGTGCCAGCTCTACATGACCATCTACAACAGGTGGTTTGGGATGTTCACCCTCAACTTGATGTGGATGGTCATTGGGACTTCTTACTGCACACGCTCTTATGTGCTACAGACCATTCAGTTCCTCAAACGGTTCCCAAAAGCTGCAAGCCACCTACAGTAATCAAGAACCGTACCCTTCGCCTGCTAAGCCGCAAAAGGCACTGTTGGGCGGAATAAAAACAAACTAATAACGATGGAGCGTATAGGCAATATAAACATATCAGGAACATATGCACGAAGGCTATAAGAGAAGACAGGCTTCAGTACCAAACAAAGCTTATGGACAAACTCGCCTCTAACCCTAGAAGCCTATTCCGTTATGCAGCCTCTCTTCGTCAAGCCAAAACAGGAGTTTCTCAACTGCTAGGTCTTAACGGCCTGACCAACAACGATGGCGACGCCGCTAACCTTCTGGCGGCACATTACTCTCAAACATTTCAACCGGCTGACATCAACTTTATTGACGACAGTTTCATCTGCAATTCCACAGGACTTTCTGAAGTGGACCTAAGCGCTGACTTGGTGTTCCGGAAATTGCAGCACTTAAGACTTGACACTTCTCCTGGCCCGGATATGGTTCATCCTGCCATACTGAGGGAGGCAGCCTCAATCCTGACAACGCCGCTTAGCGTGATGTTTTCGCACTCGCTTAGCCGAGGCAAATTACCGGAAAATTGGAAGTTGGCTCACATCACACCAATTTTCAAAGGTGGTCGACGCAATGAACCTTCAAGTTATCGGCCGGTGGCTCTTCTGTCATTACCTTCAAAACTCATGGAGTCCCTGATATGCGACGGTTTAAATGACTATCTACTGTCCTTAAATTTCTTCTCACCCGAACAGCAGGGTTTCAGGAAGGGTTACTCTTGTACAACCAACCTGCTGACTGCGGTGGACAGATGGACAAGCATCCTCGATTGCAAGGGAAAGGTTGATGTCATTTACCTTGATTTCTCAAAAGCTTTTGATAAGGTTAACCACTTGTGTCTTATCAACAAGCTCAAACGACTAGGTATCGAACCACCTCTAATCGATTGGCTTACTTCATACCTGAAAAATCGACACTTTAAGGTTAGGGTTAATTCCACTTTATCTGAGGCTATGGAATGTCCTAGTGGGGTCCCCCAGGGCTCAGTACTAGGGCCTCTTCTCTTCTTGATCTACATAAATGATCTTCCTCAACAGGTAACGTCAGACTTATTACTTTTTGCCGACGACGTGAAACTTTGGAGAGAGATACGCAACCAAGATGATACACAGGCACTTCAGGAGGATCTGACGCGACTTCAAAGTTGGGCAGACGATAACGGACTTACCTTTAACACTTCAAAGTGTAAAGTAGTCCATCTGCGACATGTCGCAAACTACAGTTACAACTTAGGAAACTCCTCTCTAGTAGTATCCCAAGTCGAAAAAGATTTAGGAGTCCTGGTGCCCCATGACTTAAAGTCTTACGCTAACTGTGACAAAAATGCCTTCCGAGCAAACCTTGCACTGGTAACGTTGAGGCGCATTTTTGGCCAGTTTGACGGAAGAACTTTCCATATAATCTTCAATAGTTTCATCCGTCCCCATTTAGAGTACGGAAACATAGTACTCCCCCCTCACTCCATAAGGACAAAGTCACCTTGGAGCGTATCCAACGGCGAGCCACGAAATCAGTTCGAGGACTCAAATCTAAGCCTTACGAAGAACGCCTCCGTTCACTAGACCTTTACCCACTAGAATACAGGCGTCTTAGAGGTGATTTATTAATGGCTTATAGTATTCTTAACACTTCTGGACATCCTCTTAAACACCTACTTAAGCTTAGTTCGAATAATAACCTAAGGGGTAACACCCAGAAACTGGAAACACAACATAGCAAGACGGAATGTAGACACAACTTCTACTCCTTAAGAGTTGTCAAAAGCTGGAATTCGCTGCCGGCCGAGCTAGTCCAAGCGACTTCTCAGGAGTCCTTCAAGAGGCAACTTGACCTATTCTTAAGGACCAAGGACAGCATCACATTATGATTTACCAATTTCTTTTCCTCTTTTATTGTTAACATACCTAGGTTCCTGCCTGGAGGATTTCGTGATCCCCTGCTACTAGACACGGAAGCCTGTTAAGCGAAAGCTTCTTCTATTCCGTCCACAACCATTTGAACCATTTGAACCATTTTAGTAATATTGGATTGTAGACGGTCTTAGAGTCCCGTTCAAACGTATACGTAACGGTGAGTATCCCAACTACTTTGTCTAGTTTGTTTTGTTGTGATTATCCATACGCCTTTTATATTTTAGATTGTCGTACTCGCAGACAAAATTCATACTCAGCTCAGGCTTTGACGTATGACAGTTATAGTGTTTTTCAAAAATCAACTTAATGTGTAGCAGTAGAATTGTAGTCCCTGGGGACCTTATATCCCCTTTAGACGTCAATAAGAAAAGTGGGCCGTCGACGTACTGTTGCTCGGGGAATATACTGTCAAGTGCATTTGGATATGTCAAGGAGGAATCACATACGGATGGATCAGTATGCTTATCCATTAATTCGTTGCTTATGTTAGAAAACATTTTCAGTTGTGCCGTTGAAAACTTCTGGCATAGTTCCTTACACCGGGTCAATTGTGTTGGCCAAAGTAAGTTAGTAAAGCGTGCCTTTAACGGCTTTTTTGTTTGTAATGCATACTAACCATACAATCAGCTAAGTGGTGGTACAAGTTGCATATCTATTTCCCTGTCAGTTAATTAGTTTTGTATGTTTATTTCAAGGTTAAAATACTGTTTCCAGAACTTTTGCATCTAGTTAGGTGTGTAAGTTCGCATATTGTCCTTGTTCTCTTAAGGTAAAACCCAAAATATCTTCAATTAGAATCTGCCCTTTATCGTTTTATATCCCCAAACATTGAGACTCTAATGATGCATATCGTAGTCTGAAGTGTGGCAAGTAGATATTCGTATCAAGCTTCTAATTATTTTTAAATAAGTTTCGAATTAGACACTCGTTAATTGACTACTTTAGAGAGTTTAGGTTGAAAAGAGAAATAATGGCATTACAGTATCATATAATGGATCACTGAAAAAATAAAAAATAGGGATTTGTATAATTATTTTCATAGATGGTATACTGTCAGCTCCTTCCACAGTATGATTTTTACTAACACCTACTCACATATACAAAACTTCACTATTCCCAGCAATTCACAAGTTAGTGTAGTTACGGGCTCTTGCCAGTTTCATTCTTTGCCCCGAAGTAATGGATTGGTCGAACCGCTCAACTTTCCACTTCAGATTCAAGCCTCACTGCTCTTCAATCTATACAATTGAGTATTACCACTAAATCACAGTCTCAAAACCAATGGACTAAATCTGAACCTTGTTATTAAGTTACATCAAATCACTATTACATTTAACGAACCATAAATATATTACAAACGTTTTCATCGAACACTGTGGTTTCGTATGCTGATGCTACACTCTTTATCCTTCTCCCCTCTCATCATATGCTTAGTTAGCTTGTATATCAGTTTACGTAATGGTTATTACCATCCCTTAGTTTTCTGCATATTCATAGTACCAACAATTAGTTTATCTTCTTTGAATGATTTAAATCCATGATCAAAAGAACGATGAAATAGATAATTATTTGTTTTGCTCTTTTTGAAAACATTGAAAGCCCCCAACCTCTTTAATGAAGTTTGACTTTTCACCATAGGTTTCTAGTATTACACGAAGATTTGTTCGCTGCGATATCGTCGCGATTGGAGAAGTTTGCCTTGCCGGACCATTCAAAGGTCTCATAAGACGTGAGGATATTCGTGCTACGCAACGCGATCAAGCAGAACCAGGCTACTGTTTTAGGCCAGGAGATATTGTTCGAGCTCGTGTTATTAATCTCTTGGGTCCTGGAGCATATACCAACACTGGTTCCTTTATGTCTAGCACTTCACCACAGACGTTATCCACGTTGTTAACTACTCAGGCTATATCCTGTTCAGTGGCGGCCACCAATGATGCAAACATAAGTGGCTCCAGTTCTGTTTGTCTTCTATCTACTGCTGAGCCTGATTTAGGCGTGGTCCTTGGTCTCGGAAGGTCTCCTGATAACAGCTTTCTCGAACTTCTTGGCAGTACAAGTGGCTCTCCCCTTGTTCCTGTTGGATGGACTGAGATGCTATGTCCTCACACACTTACTCGATACCCTCGAAAAGTTGCTCGTGTGCCAGATGAACTTATTACTCAGTTGATTTGTGCTCAAATTGAATAAATTATTTCATATAAAATTTGTTCTGCTTATATGAATAATTTTGCTTGTCAATTTCTTAAGTTATTTGTTCGTAATACAGCTCTTAGACGTTTCGAAAAATCTGTCTTGTTGTCTTATCCATTATCTTACTCCTAATCAGAAGCACACTAGAGATATTTACGCGCTATCTATTTATGTCCTGCTTTTGTCTGAGGTGGATATTCTTTGTATTACTGAACCTTGGAACTTTCAAACAATCAAATCCATTGTTCTATTAATTGCTCGCAAACCAAGGTAACTTGATGACATATTTACAAAAGTATTACTTGTTAGTTGTCTATTGTAACAATAATTAACGATCTTCAATAAATAAACAATACATTAGTCTAATCATGAACAGACGCTTTAGTGTAGATCATGGTTCGAAGTAATATCAGTCTAAATTACTATACCTTTCAACTATACATTTAAAATAGACTCAAGAACATGAGAACAAACAAGAGAAGCTGTATCCTTTCACCCTAGCTACTACAGTTCTAAGTTTGGAGTGCGTTTAATCATTTTTGGGGAATATCACAGGTTTGTTGGTTATTCAAGTGATTTCAAGACTTCTGAACTTATTGTCTTCTTTTACCAATAAATATTGATGACATAAGTTTCAGCATACAAGTAATTTAAACAGTAATAATTGACTCTGGTCAAGTGGTCAGTCAAGTAATATTTTTGCTTTAAGTGACCAATTTCTAAACAATAAACTATGATTGACTATTTTCTTTTCATCCTACTTATATTTAAGGTTCGAAATAAGCGATAATGTTTTCATACGTTTCCATAGATTCTCAATCTGTCTCTAAGCCTGTGGTGTCTCAAGTTATTACACTGATAGTGTGAAATTATGATATATGCTCCATTTTGTTCGTTGGTTCGTCTTTCTATACTGTCTCCTCAATCCCGATGAAATATCACTGGGCTTTTTGTGGAGCTTTTGCCAGTAATTCTTAAAGTTACCAAAAAATTTGACACTTCTAGTTGAATGTTCCATGTACTTGTTGTGCTAATGAGTTGTGACAACTCGGACCGATGCATATGTGTGCCTGGTGCTACGTTGTACCTGACTGACGTAGTAGTTCGTTTGAATATTTTCGTCTCATAAACCGACATCGCTAGTAAACATGACACTTTGTGGTCTGTTAGTAATGTACGTACAAGTAATACTTCTCAACACAATAAAGTGGGATGGAAAGTGAATTAAAGTCGCGTCATCGCAAAGCTAGAAGGGTTGTGTGATGACTGCTTGTTCCCAGTCTTAGTATTAGCTCCCAAAATTTTTCGCACACCATGCATTTCATTTTTATTCCAAAAATATGATTTATCCCTTTACATCAACTTATTTCTATCTTCGTACATCTTTTCTTTAATTTTCTGAACGTTTATCAGCTCATGTCACTTCTTATCTACCAAGTTCTCATGTACATTCTACAATATACGTACTATTTCTGTAAAATGTTTCTGAAATTGATCCAACGGTTTAAGAATGGATTGTGCTTGTTTGTAGTCTTTAACCTGAATTTGTATTGGTTTTAAATAGTACGTGGGTCAGTAGGTTGGTTTAATTACATTTTGAAATAAAACTCCTATATTTATAAAGTAGATGACTAAGTTTTATCCCTCGAATGTATCTGTTGTCCTGTTAATAATTATGAAAGTAACTAGATGTACTTGAAAAGCTATTGAATGTTGAGTACAGCAAATTTCCACTAATAATATGTAAATTTACCGAAATATAACAATTTAGATACATTGTGTGGAATAATTTCGACTTTTTGGTCATCACATTAACTTGAGTTTATGGTTGTACACTTAAGTCAACCACAAAAGTTTTCATTTGAAAGTCAACGAAATTATTATCAAAATAGTGACACATATAAACAAACTAACATTTTAGATCTTGTTTACAGGCCGGAGTTCGAACCACGGAACTAGCCGCAATCCTTTGTGCTACCTTTGAAAATGTCCAGGGGACTGTAATCGCCTATCAGTATCCACACAACTATGTATCCCCGGTATGTTTCCCTTTAGTTATATATATTATCCAGTATTTTAAGATTTATGTCCAGTTCTTAAAAGTTTGTAGATTTTGATCCAAGCTTAAATGGCTTGTCATCTAAACTAATCAGTTTAGTGGAGAAATCAACTTCGCTGGCTATGTTTCACTAAGTAGCTTGTTTTTACATCACTTTTTAACTTCGAAACAAAATGTCAATCTTTGCATCATACTTCGAAAAAGTTATACCCAATATGTTTTTTTATTTGTAATTCAAGAAGCTGCGTATAATAAGATGCCAACAAATGGCGCACATATCGTCAAAATACCGTATTATAGAAGAAAGAAATCGTCAAACAAATAACAACTATATTTTGAAGGATATAGTTAAAATAAAACAACCATTACTTCTTGATAGACATATATCTTGCTTTTTATGGAGAATGTAGTAAAAGATTACATCAATATCACTACTGGTTCCTATTTTTAGATGTCTGGTTACGTCTTATACCACTGAGCTGTATAACCTTTGGTACACCACCCGTAGAAGTCTAATTGGGCTATCCGTGGTTCCACGGCTCTATGTTATAGTTTGTTCACAGTTTTTCTTCCGTCTAGTTTCATTGTCAGTGAAGATCACTAGGTAAAAAGGCCACTTGATCGTCGTCTGTAGAACGTAGCTACGCCGCTATATCCAGTAGTTAAAGACTTTAATTCTCTTTGAATTGTAATATCCACTATACGTGAGTATAAGCTGCTTGACATCAACATTAGTTACAGTATATTGAAACTAAGTATGGACAATCCTATGGAGAGGTCTGAAAGATTATTAAAGATTCCTAACCCCAGCATCCAAGACAAATCGAAAGTGTAGAGTTGAATGGTTATATTGTGTAATGTGAAAATAAATGCGATAGTAGACGGCAAACTTTTTGGTAGCCTAAGCAACAGAATTTATCCCTTTATGGTCTTTTCCATATATTTACAACATGGAGTAACCATGAAGCGATGTATTTCGTATTTAGACAACTTCACTTATTGGACTTCCTAAGCAAACATCAATAGCACTTTGTTGTTATCTCTAAATCAATGTATCTCTATTTTACAAAAATGATGCTTAAGATTCACTGCAATTTCAATAAATAGCAAACTGATTTACGACTTAGCATAGTGTTATCTTGTTGCATTATCATCTAATTAACGCTTTGCAAATGAAACTCACACCTAACTGTGTCAAAGCCATATGTGAATAAAAGCCTTTCACGATTAAGATCACTTTTTGTTTGAACTTTAAGTTGTTTCAGTGTTTTATTCACCTCTGTGCCTATCTCATTTGTTAGACGTACCTCTTATTACCATGTTAGATGGTTAGCTTCTTGCAGTCAATAATCTTACTATTGTTTACAGTGGATGACTTATAACACACTACCATTTTCTCATTTGTTTTTTACAGACCCAATTTAAGGAGATTGGCAACGCTGTTATCCCGCGAGCTGAATTAGCTTTCCGGTTAGTAACAATAGAGGCTTTTAGACACTATGTGATCGGCTGCCTGCAACGCATCGAAGGTGTCCAGTATAAGAGAAATACATTGCAGTTCAATATATGTCTTGTCATTAAGCCAAAAGCAACTGCTAATCGGGATGATATATCACACTGGCAGTTCTGGGACGATTATTCAGCCGGCGGTTTGAGACCTAACGTCCAAGCAGCTTACGAGGCATTAACACTAAAGATTAATAGATATTTTTATGCTTTAGAAGAACAATGTGGATTTCTGTCTCGCTCATTAGGACATCATGAAGGTGTAGAAAAGTGCGTAAAATTACTCCGTCTTAAATCAATTTACAAACAATTACATGAATCCGGAATGTGTATTCTTTCGTTTCCCAATAGTGGCTCTTTGTACTTACGGGTATGTTTTATCGATCCTATCAATGTCTTCAAAATTATTTCTCAAATGTTATGTATACAACTAACAATCTTCTCGATGCCAGAATTTGTCTCGTTGAAACAGCCGAAGCAAAAAATAAAACAGGCAACCATGATAGCAATGCGCCAAGGTCATTCCTGTCACTTGACAGCCATGTGAAGCTAAGCTAATCTGGTGTTTGAAAATAGCGTCAACTAGTTCACTAACCTTATATAGACCGTGGCGTAAACTTTGGTATTATTTAGTCAAAATTAGATAACTTCCAATAAATTTAGTACACTATTTGCGTACTGACATGAATTGCAATCGGTGAAGTGGAACTCATATACATACAGAAAGTCGGATGATGACTTTTCAGTTGATGTTCATTGTTTATGAATGTTGTTTGACTTTTTCTTAATCATTATCTTTTGAGGAAGTAAGCATGATATCTAAACTGATTTAACACGGTTTTGGGTTTAATTATTTATAAGAATTAATTTCTTCGAAATATTTTCCACTTCATTAAGTTAAATATTTTAGATTTCTTCATATAGTTCCAATTTTTTTCTACTAGTTTAGTCCTAGACAGGATCATGGGTCGTATAGCAATTTGTCATTCGATATGTTTGAACTGGTGTCTGAAGAGATTTTAAAAGATAATAATGTTGATGATAATGATCGGGGATTAGAATTTGGTCAAAAAATCCGACAGTTCAATCTTCACCATAATAATCAAGTTGTTTTTCCTAATTTCAATCCTCAAAGTGAATCAGAGATTACTGATAATTGTGTGTTTGTTTTAATCGCTTCTCCAACTTATCATCGTCAGTCTAAAATGGGTTACAATTTGAATGGTGGTTGGAGACCATTGGATGCTGTGGCTCAACGTGTTTTACCTTATATCAACGGTAGACGACGTTTAATTGAATTGGCTCAGTTAGCTCAATTAGATGTGGCTATAGCTCGTCTATGTTTAATTGAGCTTGCTCGAATAGGATTAGTTCGTGCCTTACCGTATCCTACATTTATAATGCAGCTTCTTCAAGCTGATAAGTTTTCCAATTCAACACTTATTCCTGGATGGCTAGGTTTACCACGACTGGCCACCCTACTTACAGACTCCTCTCTTAGCAAAATGTGCTTGGAAACTGTGGTAAGCATTTCACTTGCTTTTATTTCTTATACTTTTGGTTGCACTACTAGCTAAAGTCGATCGTTGGATATCAGTATTAAATGTAGAGGTATTCATCTCAATATATAGACTACTTAATTAGCCATCACATGAACGACGATGGCCAATGTAAAAACAAAAATGTATGGCTTTATTTCAGTAGTTCAATTTCGATAGACTGAAAATCATATGATTTTCAGTGGTCTATCATATTAACAATGTTTTTTTGTTTAAAACTTGCTACTGTTAGCAATAGAACTAGGTGTCTAAAAAAGTATTATGATCGTAACTGCTCGTTTCATTTTGATTAATTCAAACAAGGTTGTCATTCTGCGCTTGGCCACTATTTTTACAGAGTTTTATTGTTACTTTCCAAATTATCGTACTTGCAATTCACGCTTAGGTGTTCACATGTTATCTTCCAAAGGCTTCCTATTCAGTTTGTTAGCAGACTGCTTCGTGTCATACGGCTATCCGAAGCCGTGTTATTTCCATTAAGGCTTCCGGTCAAACGACTGAGTTACGTTCTCAAAATAAAAAAAGAAGTATTTGTCTAGAATATGGTACTCCTACTGCTACGAAAATATGTAAACCTCAATTAGTGCTTATTGCACCAGTATATAATCAAAGGAAAAATGTTTCTTGTAATAGGTATACAGAAATTCTTTACAAAAAATATAATAGGCTGCATAATAACTATGTTCAAAATCACAATGCCAGAAAGCGGTCAAAATGGGGCTAAGCATTCGCGCCACACCGTAGATCCTAGGTTTGAGTCCTGCATACGGAGACGTGGTTGGACACTGCGAAAGAGCACTATGCTAGGACGAAGTGAGTGTCCAGTGCTTCCAGGTTTCTAATGGTGGTCTAACATTGATCAGTTCATGATCTCAAAAAAACCGATCTCCACAACCCTATTCTGACAGGTTACTAACAGCTCAACGAATGCAAAAAAGAATTAAATTAGTTATTACAAATATTACGAAGCTTCAATTACAATAATAAGTAAGTTTAATGTTAAAAATTTATAAAAACAGCTATCAATACCACTGAACAATCGGAGGATGTAACTCGCGATACGCTCAAAATGATCGAAAATGAAGTTAGTTACTAAATGTTAATAAGTAGCATAATGTAACATACAAAAGGTAATCTAATTTGGAAGAAATGGAAATAAAACGATCAAACAAAACTAATATACGGTTTTGAGGAAGATGATATTAAAAGTTTACGAGGGTTTAATGCTTAAAAAGTTACCTCATGCCTAATGATTCTAGTCTTATCCATGTTGGTAGATGCAGACTACTTGGTTGGGGTCCGCGTGACTGTCGTAACCAATGGTTGGAGACTCTTGGTGACATAGCTCAGAATCGATCACAATGGCGTCGGTGTATACACTCTCTATCTTCCCTTAAACTAAGAGATTAAAATTGCTTCATATCTTTCTTCCTACGAACTAATTCTTTCTTGCTGTACTACTGCAATCTTTCTTTTATATATTACCACCTCTGAATTAACTGCTTTTATGAATCCGGTGTCCATCTTGTTGTGTTAATGAGGTATGGCAACTTGGACCGATGCATAAGTGTGCCTGGTCCTACGTTGTAGCTGACTGACTGACTGACTCATGCCTAATGAGATCACTCAAAATATAAGTGCCTGTTTTTTGGACGTTGTCATTGTTAAGTTTTAGAAATGTATTGATCATTTTATGTTGGGATGTAGACTGTTTGAACTAACCCCTTAATATTGCTAAGGTTTGGATGAAGGCTTCCAGAAAATATATTATACTGAATGGATTTTATGAAATATACTGAAAATTTTAAATTTACGCTTGTGTAGATACAAGTTTGTCATGGTATTTCTTTTATTGGCTTGACATCTTTCTGTACTTATCGATAATGATGATAAATACTATTGTTATGTATGTATTTGATTTTTTGTATTGTTTCCTTTACATTCAGATAGTGTTTAATTCAAATCGTCATAAACTACAAAGTTTATGCATTCACGATATTTTCCGTCTGTATACAATCCTTTGTGGTTCATCCAATTTTAGTTTATCGTATTTAATTTCAGCCAATCCACATATTCGATTTATTGAGTGTTCATCTTACATGAACTCATCATCTTCTTCTTCTACATCATCATATCATTCCCTTCCATTTGTAAGATCATCAAAACTTTGTAATTGTCATGCATCTTATCATCAAACACAGCATCACTGTAAAATTAGTTTATTAAGTCTTGTACAATTTGGTGAAGTAAATGGTTTAATACGACGAATTCAATGTTATCCTATAAGTGATAAACTAGAATTATCTACTGAACAACATATTAAATATCGGATGTCATCATCAGTTATGTCATCAAAAGAAGCAATTCCTGCAATGATGACAACAACTACGACAACTGTTACCACAACCAGTAGTACGAGTTCCAATACAAATATGCAACAACAATTCATGCAATTTCAAACTAAAAATTCTTCATCTGTATTACGACATAATTCACGTAAATTTACTAAAAAACCACAAATAATTAATGAACAAACATGGTCTATTTCAAAATCCCTACTAATGGATGGTCAGCATAGTTTAGATTCAATCATTACATTTTTATTAACGAACAATGGTAATACAACAAAATATTCTTCATCTGGATATAAAGTACCAGAATATATTAGTGATTTATTAAATTTATATCGTTTTGATGAAGAATGTCTTACTAGACAAATATCTTATTGTGATCGTGATTTATCTTCGTTTAATAGAACTAAAACTTCTAGTAGTTTCAGTTTTAGTCCTGATGAAACTAATTTTACCATTCATAATAATAATAATAGTCAAACTGTTGAAGAAATTGTTGTACATGATCGAATATGGTCTAAGCCAGAAAATAATATGACAACATTTGTAGAGCCATTAAATTTGGATAAGATAAACTTTATATTACCGGATCTTTATTGGATGTGGCGTTGAAATAATTGATTTTTGTTAACTTATCACATATTAAATTTCTTACTTTATTAATCTATTCCTCTCTGATATTTGTTCATTGATTTATTTCAACAATGTGATGTTGTACAGTGTAAAGTTATAAAATGAACTAATATTATCTTTGGTTTCATTTACTCTATTAAAATTTTATTGCTTAATAAAACTCTCTCATCCAATTGTTGTCCGTTGATTTTTGTACTAAACTCTGTTTTGATTTACTCAATGAAAACCTTGGCTCTGATTCCCTTAATGGGAAAACCTTCGCTTAAAAACCTTTGAGTTTTACATTTAATTTATTCTCCTTTATCTTCAGATTATCTCGATTAACTCTTTTGAGAAATAATTTTAAATATGAAATCTTATTAAATAACTTAATTGACTATGTATTCTAGTATTAACTATAAGGCCTATTGTAGAATTATAACGAAATATTGATTGAAAGGAAATGTCTCTTGGCTCAATCTATTCATATCGATATTTGTTGCAATTTATCATTCTTAAACGATTTTAACTCTTGATATTTTGTACAAGTTATGAAAATATACACTTTCCTTATGTACAGCTATACTCATTGATTCGTTTTTTTCCGGGGGGGGGACAGTTCCTTATGAATTTTATTCTGAATGATATAGAATCAGTTGTTTTTTCGTCGTAATAACTCCCACAAACCTTTGTAACTAATGTAGCCAGTTTTGTTATTTCTGATTCATTTTTTAACTAAACTAGGATTTATGTCAACTGCACACTTATGTAAGAAACCATACAACTTATTGTGATGCTAATTAGAAACCCCTTAGTAGCTCATATATTTTGTATCTTTGCCTATCAATTTCTAAAGACTGGAACATGATATCATTAGAATCCTTAAGTAAAACTTATAAAAGGGGACAATATATCACTCATGTTAATGTTTAGTGGTCGCTTACTACTCGGAATCAAAATAAAGACTATTAGATAACAGATTAGTGGTCTAGAGACAACATAGTCACAGCGCAACCTAAAGTTCCCTTGCTAAAACAAAACACTTCAATCCTCTGAAGTTTTCAACAGGTGTCTAACTAAAGTTTGTTGGTAATGTGAACTATCTTCAACTATTTTATCTTCGTTTAAATAAACCAAATGTATAATTTTAGGTAAATGCATAAAAAAGTTTCGCGAGAGATGATTTGCGGTGGAAAAATTCGAACTTTAGTGGTAATCATTTAACACTAATTATTTATTGAACGTTAACTAACATTATGCTGCATGGTACTTTTTGGTATTTATGTATCAAGTCGCGATTCAGTCACCAGACTAAATGAACAGACAATGTGACCCATATTGTTGAATGCTATGATGTCTGACTGAAGCACTGGGTGACTCGGTCGCGAATGACATAAAAAGTATTTGTTTTCTTAAGATTGTAGACGTGCCTTGCTGGATTATGGAAGCTAGCAAGAAATATTAGTTCAAGGTTTCTCCATAAATAGCTCCAAGCAATTAAAAGTCGGGAGATTTCTGGAAAACTAGACACTGTTATTTCAATAACTACTGAAAAACAGAAGATTGGTATTTAGCTTTATATTTACATCTTGCTCACCAACAAAACCATTCTCCAAACTTCAAGCTTTCATATAATCGCTTGAATAGTTTTGCTTCAAATCTGGATACAACAGATTTATGTATTGAACTGCCAATTAGTTCTGTTGGATATTATTTTATGATATGCCACCCATCTAAATAAGTTAATGGAAACGAAGCTTAGTTTAAATCCTTGTGTAAATACTTCGGGATCATTTGGAGGTGATCATTGAATTTTAGATTCATCTACAAATGAATTCGGTAACTCAATCTAAATCATAATTAGTTTATTGATTGTAAATTAAGTTTTAAAAGATTGTTACATGATAACTAGATGTGGTAAAATATCCAACTTACGGTTTATTACTTTTCTTGGAAACTAGGTCTTTTTAAGTTGATTCAGAGTAAACAGCCTAAGTTGTGCTCATTTCTTCGACATTGATCAAATCGAATACACAAATGTAATCTTTTATCGAAGACATGAACACAGCTGAAGTTGAGTTTAACTCTTTAACTAGAATTCATTAATTGAAAAGACAACGATAAATTCGATTTAAGTAAAGTTGTATTGTTACAAATGAAAGTTGAATTATCTCATCCAATTTATATATACACATATCACCATAATGATTGGTTAGTGAAGTTAATTATCAGTTACATTGAACTCAGGCATTTGACCCCAAATTGTAGTGAAACAGAAAAAAATAACGAACTCAAATTTATCACATAATTTCTACAGTGACAAAGTCTATGACATAATATTAATTACTACGTTTTCGCATATATCTTTAGCTCTATGTGTATATATGTCTGTTTGTCATCATAATTGACAGTATAGACAAAGATGTCTATTATTCTCTTAACTATTACAGTGCATGATTCTTTATGACATTTGAATTATACTGTTAATTGTATTGATAGTAATCTAATCAAAATGAACATGGTGCATAATCGATTGAATTCGGTGCAGTAATTACTTTTTTAAAGCAAGTCACAAGCGAAGTTTTACATGGCACAAACGCGTATGTGTGTGTAAAAAGAGTTCATCGTCATATTATATATATATATATATATAGTGACACAATATGGTGAATCATTTCGATGGTATAACTAGTCGATTTAGAAGTTGTAATGTTGTTATTGATGGTGATGAACATTATAAAATTAATGTTGTTGTAAACATGTTTTATTGTAATAAAAATATAATGATGATTTCGTGCTGTCTACTTGCAATCAGATTGCTTTGAATCATTATTTTAATTTATAGGTTCAAGTGACGGAAAGTTTGAATAATAATAGTGATAATGGCAATTATTATTATTTCCCTTTTTTAGAAGGAATTCAAGACCTTCAGGATAGATTATCTAGGTTGATCTGTTTCCAACATCGATTAATCCATAATAATACTCACTGATTAATTATTGTCGATCGGTGATATTCGCTCTATATGTTTGAACTTCAGTAAAACTTAGAGAGTCCCTCTGAAAGTTAGTAACCATAATGTATTCTAGTCTGTAATACTTAAAATGGAAATTCTTTCAAAACAAATTAGACGCTAGTTTTAAATATTTTTTAAAGGTAAATATTCAAAATAAGAGAACATTTAATTTCAGAGAATCGATATAAAGTTAAAGTTTGGGCTTGTGGCAATAACATCATAGTCTTATAATTTTGCAAGTATCTCAAATATATATTATCTAATAAATCCTAGTCAATGCTTCTGTTCAAGTAACTACAACTCGCAGCATATATATCTTTACTAAAGCCTCCATTCTCTGTTTGGCTTTGATTAGATGTAATTATTTAGTACAAGACCTATTCTTACATATAAACGGAACCATTATTAAAAAATTATTAAGTATAGAATAGTTGTATCGTTTAATCTTAAATGAACAGTCAATATTTACATAATTAATGCCACGCTCTATCAATGAGTTTTAAGCACCACAGAAAACCGGTTAACACTTTAAATAACAGGCTTTACAGGATCTGTCAATTTTTTCACCCATAAACAACTTATGCTGTGGTAAAACTGATACTACAGAGATATTCCTGTCGCAATCATTTTAAATTACACTGTAGATTCAGGAAAATGGTAAGCTGTATATTAACCTGATATTTTGATTAAAAACTATCAGAAATAAGGCATTCACTATAACTTTAAAATCGTGCCATTAAGAATTTGTACTAATTAGAATAAACTATAAGGTTATCAGAAACAATTAACCATCCAGTTTATATATATATATATATATATATATATATATATATATTGGTTATGCACAGATCAAATCGCAACACTACGGATTATAGTTAAGCAATCAACTGGATGGAACTCGTCACCATACGCCAACTTCCTTGATTATGAGAAAGCATTTGGCAGTGTGGACAGGAGAACATATTGGAAACTTCTTCTACACTATAGAGTACATGAGAAAATCGTTAATATTATTCGGAATTCATACGACGGACCACAGTGCAAAGTCGTAGATGAAGAATAGTTGACAGATGCACTCCAAGTGGGGACCAGAGTCAAACATAACTGCTTATTCCCTCCCTTCCTCTTTCTTCTGGAAGTTGACTGAATTATGAAGACCTTGACATCTTAGGGGAAGCACGGGATGTAATGAGCTGGCTGGATGCAGCTAGACGATTTGGACTTCACAGATGATCTGACCCTTCTATCCCATACACACGAACGATTCCAGGTCAAGACAAACAGTGTAGCATCAGCCTCTATATCAGTAGACCTCGACATACACAAGGGAAAAAGCGAGATCCTCAAATACAACACGGAGAACACCAACCCAATCACACTTGATGGAGAAAGTCTGGATGAGGTGGAAACTTTCACCCACCCATCTGGGCAGCATCATCGATGAACAAGGAGATTCCGATGCAGGCGTGAACGTGAGGATCGGTAAAGCAAGGACACTATTCCTACACTTGAAGAACATATGCAACTCAAAACAATTGTCAACCAATATTAAAGTGAGAATCTTCAGTACGAATTTCGAGACAGTTCCATTGTAGGGAGCTGAAACTTTGAGAACTACTACAACGATCATCAAAAGGGTTCATGTATTTATAAACAATTGTCTATGCAAGATACTGAATATCCGTTTACCGGATATCTTTAGCAACAACCTACTATGGGAAAGAATAAACAGACTTTCAACTGAATAGGGAATTGGGAAAAGTTGTTTGAAGTGGATAGAACACACATACCGGAGTTCATCAAACTGCATCACGAGACAAGAGCTAACTTGGAATCCTGAAGGTAAAGGGAAAAGAGGAAGGCCGGAAAACACACTACGTCGAGAGTTGGAAGCAGACATGAAAAGGATTAATAGTTACTGGAAATGATAGCTCAGGTTAAGGTTGGAGAGAGGATGTTGGTGGTCGGCCTATGCTCTTCCACG